AGCCAAAAAGCAACCAACCCCCCAAGACCCATCAGAAATGGGGGCAACAAAAAACAAGCCCCCAAGACCCATCGGAAATGGGGGAAAACAAAAAACAAACCCCCAAGACCCACTGGAAATGGGGGGAACCCTAAAAAACAAACCCCAAGACCCATCAGAGCACAGAAACACAACCCCCCCAGCCCAAAACCATGCTGCAAAAATACCCAGAAGAGTTTTTAAAAAGCAGAAAACAGCACCTTACCTTACTAGGCAGCCTTCTCTGATCGCAAACTCTCTTAACTGCTGGGGTGAAAGAGCTACAAGGAAGCAGCTTCATCACCACCTACAGAAATCTGAATTTCCCACCTTTTTTCCCTGCCTTTTTCTGTTCATAAGTGGAAGCTCCAGTCACAAGTAGAAGCAAAATTTTGCGGCTGGAGCTGGTCGTAACTCGAAATGGTCGAAAGTAGGGACATTCGTAAGTTGAGGCACCACTGTATTGGGGAAATTTCTTTAGATTGATTTTTGAGAGATTTCCCTCACTAGAGTTGTTGTAACTGTTATAATTATTTTGAGCAGCAATATCCAGTCTTTTCATCTCTATTTGAAATTCCATTTGTCTTTTTTATTGCTCAGCTTTGAGCTGTAGTTCCTGAGGTTTCTCTTCAGTCCTGGCTTTAATTTCTAGTTCCTTTTCTCTAAGCTAAATTCCTGTTCCAGTTTCCATTCCAACAGATCTAGAGAGCTTTGAATACTTCCCTTGAGGATTCCTCAAGTATTTGAGGGTCTCCATTCCCATTCCCTTTAACCTTTTGAGGATCAATTTCCTCCATTACTGGTTTTTTAGTTCTTTTGGGTGGCATAAGTATGTACTTTCTTAATAAAAAAGGAACTGATTTCTATTGCTGAGTTAGTCAAGCCTCTTTTTAAAATACTTTTACTGCTGTTTCCCCCCTCCACTATTTTTCTGGGGCACTATGTAGCTCTCACTCAGCAGCTAATGATGGCTATGCTTTCTCTGGCCTAACACAGCATAAGCCACTTCTTGGTCTGAGACAATCTTCTTGCCTCCAGAAACAAAACAAATTCTATTTTCAAGCCCCTGCTTTTTATTTTCCTATCACCACAGATCCGCTCTGACCCTGGCTTCCACTTTTGATCCACTACTGCTCCCTTATCTCTCAGAGCCTTGGATTTCAAGCTAGCCCACTGGGTCTTTCAAATCTTGAGGTAACAAAAAAAAAAAAAGAATTTTTTCCTTTAGAGTCGGTTCCCTATGTTTAGTTCCCCCAGATCTGCGTTCAGAAGCCCCACCACTAAGCTCTTCCACAAAAGCTCTAGCAGGTCACCCACTTCTTCACCACAGACCTCTAAGAAGGTACCTACGACTCTAGGAAATGCACCCTTAAACGTTGGCTTTACTGGGTTATTTTGTATCCCACCGCTGGACATGAATTGTGGCATTTGCCCTTGTGGCCCCTGCTTGTTTTTCCCTCACAAAGGCTCATGTCGAATTTTTTTCTCGCTGCCACCAGTGGATTACCTCAGTCCACAATATAAATGACGTTTGTCAGAACACGTCTTGTGAACAGAAACAGAACTTATTCATTGGAGTGAAGCAGATTGAATAATAACAGAAATTCTTCAGATATACATTATACAACTGTGTAATAATTCATTAACAGTTATCTCAGTAAGCAATTTATCAACAGTTTATCAAGCAATTCATCAACAGTTCTCTCAGTACATACTTATTTTCTCTTGCTATATCAATACCATCTTCTTCACTTTTTTTCCTAACCAGCTCTATTTCTCTCAGTACAGTGGTGCCTTGACTTACGAACATCCCTGTGGTGATCTACCCTTTGTTGCCCCTATTTCCTTGGGCTCCACAAAGGAACACACACCCTTTTTTGCTGCCACCAGGTATTCTCCTAATACCAATTTATGTTATTTGTGCTGCCAATGCTGAGTGCTATAGAACTTAGGAAAGAGTTATAATTATATTCTTTTATTGTTAAACAAATCAAAAGGTAAATCACATATGAACTGGTTCGGGGTTAATATATATTGGATCATGTAGTCAATCACTTTGCTTTCCATCAGTGTCTCTTTTGTAGTGCTTATAAGTTCATTCCTGCTTGTTCAATGTGTTTTAAACTTCTCAATTTCCTCTCCTAACACCCTTAGCTCTATTCACTAACCCTCTCCTTCGTTCTCCTAAACCCTAACTCTCATTCCACATCTTCAACTGTCCCTAAGCCTAACTCTATCTCTGTCTAACTGTCTCTCCAACTCTCTGTCTCTCTGGCTCCACCCCTCCTGCTCTATTCTTGGCTCCTCCCCTTTGACCTCCTGTGATAGACAGGCAGGAATGATGTTGCCTTTTTGCATTCCGCTACAGTCCCGACTTACGATCATTGCAAGTTGGGACCAGCTCCTGCTGCAAAATTTTGCTTCAACTTGTGGCCAGAGCTTCGAGTTGCGACAAGAAAAAGGCAGGGAAAAAGGCGGGGAATTCAAATTTGCTAACTGTTGGTATGTGAAGAGGCTGCTTCTTTGTAGCTCTTTTGCCCCAACGGTTAGAGTGAGTGCGATCGGAGGAGGCTTCGGACTACTTGGTGCTGCTTTCTGCTGCTGAATAAGTACATTTACTTTGTTTTGCAGGGTGGGTTGGGGGGTTATGTTTATGTGCTGTGACTTTTTTGTGTTTTGGTGTGGGGTTTTTCCCCCAGCCCCATCATGTTCAGGCTGGCTGTGGGGGGGGGTTGTGGCTTTTCCCCCAGCCCCATGCCGTTCCCTGGGGCTGGCTGTATGGAGGGGGTTTGTGTTTTCCCCCCCGGCACCATGGCATTTCACTGGGGCTGGCTGTGTGGGGTGTGTGTGTTTTTCCCCCACCTCCACAGCATTCCACTGGGGGTGGCTGTGTGTGGGGACGATTGTGTTTTTTCCCCCAGCCCCACAGTGTTCTGCTGGGGTTGGCTGTGTTTTTGGTTTGGTGTGGATTATGGTCGTACGTCGAGGCACCACTGTATCTGTTCCCTCTCTCTCTGACTAACCAGCCCTATCTGACTCCTGCTTCTCCCGCCAAGCCTTATGTAGCTGCTGACTCCGCCTCTCCAGTCCTCTCATAGGTTCATGCAAATCAGTTCATGAATATGAATGGCATGAGTGACGTGGGCGATCGTCACAGGTACGTTATGCGACTTATACAATCTTGATTCATGCTATATTTCTTTTATACTATATTGTGTTATGGCCATGGCAAAAAAAGGGGGGGTGAGAATGGTTGATTAAAAGCACCATGCCAGGGGGTATCCTTTCCATGGCAAACAGCAATCTGGAGATACCACTTATTAGGGAAAACATAACTTTCTTGGGATCCAGCTAAACACTTCCTGCAATTAACTTTTTTCCCCTCCAGCAACAGATTTCACAAAGAGTACCTCAGCAATCAGACTCATAAACTAAGCCTGAGTTCACATTACCCATGTTGAATCACAAAATAAATCCTGCTGGATATAGATGGGAGGAAAATTGTGTACTATAGCAAGCAGCCCATATTCCACCACTTCCCAGAGGCACTGACTCTAATCACATAGCAACCTTATTGCCTTGTTTGACCCTTAATTTTTAAGCTCCTAGATTGCCACATATTAATATGCTGAACTATGAGAAAAAGCTGACAGACGTCTATTTTTGGGGAGGGAAGGAGAAGACGAGGTGGGGAGAAGGTGAACAGAAGATTCCCCCACCCTCATAATGCTACAACTTGGTCCTGACTACAAAATTGGTACTGTATAAGCCACTTATGCATACAATTCTTTCCATTTTTTTTTCACTTTCCCTCAAAGCAGGAATCTCAAGGTAGGGCATAAAGCTCTCACCTCTCCTTTTCTGCTTACAACCGTCCTGTGGGATAAGATGAGCCAGCAAGGAAAGTACTACCTTCCCAGTGAACATAATGCATGACTTCAATGGCCATGCACTGTGGTAAGAGATGATAACTTCTTGTGTCAGTGGTGCTAAAAATGGAATTGACATATTCATAAGGATAAGTAAATCGAGCAGTTTTTAGCTATCTTCCTAGATTCTTCATGACCAGATGCTAACGACGGCAAAGGAAGGAAGGAACATGGTTACTTCTTGACCTGTAGTTTATCAGCTGCCCCAAAGTGTCCAGTTGGGCCACTGTGTTACAGTTTGGAAAAAAAATATTTGAACAATTCCGGAGAATGTATTTGCAAAGGCTTTCAGGGCCGGGATCTAATAGTTGTTGTGGGTTTTTCGGGCTCTTTGGGCGTGTTCTGAAGGTTGTTCTTCCTAACGTTTTGCCAGTCTCTGTGGCCTGAAGTGCTGTCCTCTGAAGATGCCGGCCACAGAGACTGGCAAAACGTTAGGAAGAACAACCCTCAGAACACAGCCAAAGAGCCCGAAAAACCCACAACAACCAATTTCTGGACAGCTCAGAAAAGACCCTGACTTCCCTCTTTCTGGTTCTTTATCTTTAAATAGGACTTCAAAGCAGCACCAGCTTCAAAAGGAAAACAGTCCTCTGCCAGCCCCTGAAATACTGTACCTTCTATCTTCCTAAAGGAGACCAGCTGATTTCAGCCCCGGAAAGCTATGGTATCTATTTATCTGTTCATTTAAATATATTAGATAAACACATTAACCTAATATTCCACCTTTCTCCCTTGCCAGATCCAAGGCATCTTAGACTATAATAATAATAACAAAAAAACCCCAGATCCATTTAAAAACGTCGTAATAAATAACTACGTTTCCATGTTCTGCACTGGGAAGGGCAACAGCACAACGCGAACCACACGGATCCCGCTCTCTGATTCAAAAGGGCTCTGACGGAGGGCCGCTGCTGTCTTTGCACGACTTTTGCTATAGGATTCATCCCGAACAGAGAGCTAAAAGAGACGAAACTGTTGGCTAGAAACACTTGCAAAGGACACGCCCTTCTAGCTGTAGCGCCCATGTGGGCGCTCTTCCTTTCGCGGTGCTAAGCGATGCAAGAGGAACTAAAGGTACCCGGAACTTAGGTTTCCGAACTTGGAGGGAAGGGTTTTTGGGAGGACACGGTGTGTTTGCCCGAGCGCGAGAGTCACCGTCTTCGGGATCATGGCGCTCGTGGGGCTTTTAGGTCGGGTGGGCTCGCGGCTCTTGCCCGGAGGCACCTACGGGCCTGTTCGCGGGGCGGCGGAGACGAGACTTTGGAGCGGGTAAGTGGGCGGGCGCGCTCGTTAACTTGGTTCGCCCTTGTTTCCGTGCGATCCTGTTGCTTTTATCTCGTCCCTCGCGTGCTGGATGGGGGGCTGACACGCTGTATTTTATTTCGAGCATACGACTCGCTTCGGAAGGGGGAAAAGGCTGATGCCCTGATGTGGAGAAGAGGGGCATTCAAGCTGTTTGGATCCTGCTATAGCAGTGGTTCCCAACGTTGGGCAGACCAGATATTCTCGGACTGCAACTCCCAGAACTCCTGTTATAGCAGTGGTTCCCAACGTTGTGTAAACCAGATACTTCTCGGACTGCAACTCCCAGAACCCCCCCTTCCGGCCAGCACAGCGGGTTGTGAAGGCTTCTGGGAATTGCAGTCCAAGAACATCTGGGTTACTCCAGGTTGGGAACCACTGTGCAACAGTACTGTTTTTATTTGGGTAGGGTGCTCCTGAAATTGTGTCAGTGCCCTCCACCCCAAATATGGAGACTTTTGCAGTAAGGTTGGCTCCTGAGCCTTTGATTTTGCGTCAGGTTGTCTCCCCACCCCCACCAGCATTTTGGCTTCTGTCTTTTTCTCTTGGTTTTTCTGGGGTTGGAAAGAAGAAAGAAGGGTGCGTGTGGAAGAGTATGTGTTCTAAAGATGCACACATCATCAGCATCCTAGAATTGCAGAACTGGAAGGGACCCTATGGATCACTGAGTCCAGCCTCTGTCAAGGAGGCACAGTGGGGAATCAAGCTCCCAACCTCTGGCTACATAGCCAGAGACCTAAATTATTGAGCTATTCAGTTCTAAAATCCACAAAACTGACAAACTAATTTCCAGAAACTCAGCAATATTACTATGGCAATGAATACTTATTTCATATTCCATATTTATTATCTTTATTTAGCAAAAAAATGTTACATGTGAAGCAGCCGTTACAAACATGATGTTGTGTCAGGAGGGTTCTTGCAGCTAGCACTGCATCACTTGTTGTAATCCTCAGCTTGGGTCATCATTTATGCATCCCAGTAAAAATGCATCATCTTGTACAATGAATGCACTTGAGTGCACTAAGAAATGCATTGCATAGTTGCATAGCTGACATTTTTCTAGAGCTGGTGCATCTGCTGCCTAAAAGCTTGGCCTTCTCATTCATTTATGCTCCCCTCCCATATCATTTTCAGTGACAACATGTAATACTGTAATTGGAACTGCTGTAGATTGAAGTCATGTCACCACATCTCTCATTCCCCACTGTTTCTGTTATGGCACAGTCCACAAACACTGAGAATCTTTAATGCAAAAACACATGTAAAATTCCATTAAAGTTCTGCTGCTCTTACTGGTGTGTGAAACACTGCAGTGTAGTGTTCTGGCAGTGCTGTATTACCAGGCAAATGAGAATGTTTAGTAATTTTGCACCAGATATCTCAGCCTCAATTTTCAGAGCCATCAATACTCAGTTTTATGGTTTAGTTAATTTAAATCAGTAATGGTAGTTCCATTTTACTGACTGTGAATTATAATTTCTTAACCTATCAGAGTTGGGATATAATGACTAGATTTGGGAGTATGTGTATATGAATACGAATATCTCCATGCATCTGGAGTTAACCATCCACTCATGCATCCGCCGGCACCAGTGGCCCCTCCCTCTCTTCCTTTTAGTCACTCTGGAGCACTGGTCAGCTAGCCACTCAGCAGCCTTGCAGGGAGACTCATCCTGCCTCCCTCTGCCAGGAGTGGTTAAGTGACTGGAAAGAGAACAGCGCTCCAGGAGTGATTGGAAGGATGAATGGGGCCAGCAGTGGCCTGGACCCTTGTCAGCTCCAGCTATGTGGAGATATTCGTATTTGTATACAAATACGAATACGCTCATCTCTAATAATGACTGAAGTCCTGTTGCTTAACACAGTCAGTTGCATTAGAGAAGGCTCATTTAATCAGTATGGATTGCTGAGTCAACTGCTCCATAAGTCCCATTGGGTCTTCTTTAGGTGCAATTTATTTATTAAAGTCACAAGGAGAGGAGGCCCATTTGAATAAATGGGATTTATGGAGTGTTACATAAATGTTACAGAGTTACATTTTCTCATCCATTTTTGTCTTCCATTTGGTAGGACTCGGTGGTGTGTCATATCTAGACATGTTAATATCAAGACTCCCACATGGTGGGATGAGCATCTTTCAGAAGAGAATTTCCAGTTTGTTAAGAAGATCACAAAACAAGAAATGAATGCTCTCACAGCCAGTAAGCTGTGCCCTCTGAAGGATGAACCTTGGCCTTTACATCCATGGGAACCAGGTTTGTATATGCAAGGAGCAGACCCTGAAGTAAATTTAAGTGTAGAGCAACATTCCCTTTAAGCCATCTTTGTGCAACACTGCATCTGTCCCACACAGCCAGATCAATACTGCTGCCCATTTACTTCTGGTTGCCACTGGAACCCCACACATGGGGGAGAGAGCCCCGTACAGTGCTAACTGAAATTACAGGGAACATTGGTGTAGAGCGTTTCTTGATATTGTATTTAAAGTTTTAAAGCGAGTGAGTGTATACTTATTTAAGTGCATTGTTTGTACAACTGAAATAGGACACAGCAGATGCTGTTCTGTTCTTTCTACCCCAACTGTGCATGACACTTAACATGCCAAAGTATTAGCATGTATTTATTGGTTACATTTATCTTCTATCTTTTCTCTGATATGCTCAGAAATGGCACACATAGCTGTCTTACTCCCTACTTTGTTAGGTTAGAGGGAACAGGTAGCAGTTGTCTGAGATCACTCGGTGGATGTCATGGTTCTGTGGGGACTTCACTCTGAATCTCACAGATTCTAGTCTACCATTCCACTGTGAAAGAGCAGAGGTCAGTGCATATAGGTCAGAGCTTCCCCTCTCTGCTGCTAATTCAATTCAGTCAAGGCTCCAGCTTAGTTCAAATGCAAAAGCTTTGACCACAGTGCTGAATCAGTTATAAGGACTGTGCATCAGGTCTCCAGTTCCCATCCAATAGCTTGGTATGATGTCTGTGTGTACCTATTTGTGCAAGCCACAGAAGAAAGGGAGGACTAGGGCTTTGGTTTCCCACTCAGCAGTTATTCAGCAGTAGTACTGAATGGGGCAAAGCCTTCCTTTTTAAAGTTCCCTGAATGGAATGTGCTAGAAGTTTTAAATGGTAGAGACTGAGATGTCATAAGCCCTTTATTTCAATCTTACGTACAGGTTCCAAAAGAGTTGGTCTTATTGCAGTCAAGCTGGGAATGCTGCCATTATGGACAAAGACAGGTGAAAGGGTTCCTGTTACATTACTTCAGGTAAAGGGAATCATATTCTAAAATAAAAAAACAGAACAGTGTGTTCAAGGAATGTATAAGCAAACTGTTACTATTTAAAATATTTTACCCCACCTTTCTCTTTAAAAAGGACTCAGGTTGGTTTACATAATTAAAAGACAATATTTGAAGCTATAAAGAGTAAGTATACAAAACTGAAAAGAATCAAACAAATCCACTCTAAGAAACAGTAAACAAAAACACACACAGTAGTGCCTCGCGAGACAAATGCCTCGCAGGACAAAAAAAACCTGCAAGACAAATGGTTTGGGCAATGGGGTTGATGACTCACAAGACAAATGTTCCTATGGCTGTGCTTCGCAAGACAAATGTTTTCCGTTTTTTGTTCCTGCCTCATGTTTGCTGATTTTAAAATGTTTTTCTACGATATTTAAAAAGTTAAAGTTTTTTAATTGATATTTTTTAAATCATGTGCACAAGATGTGTGGCTTTAAAGAGCACTCAATAAACCCTTTGTAAACCAAATTTGACTTTGTTCTGACTTTTTTTGTCATAGGAATGCATTAATTAGATTTCAATGCATTCCTATCGGAAAACACTTTTCGCAAGACGACATTAACTGCGGAACAAATTAAATTCTTCTTGCGAGGCACCACTGTATTGAGCAGTAAGGCATAACAATCCATTTGAAAACCCCACTGAAGCTGCCAGTCATTGAGGGAAAGCGTGCCTGAAGAGAAAGTTCTTTGCCTTCTTGTGGAAAGACAGCAAAAATGTGGCCTCCTGTGGGAGGGAGTTCCAAAGTCTGGGTGCAGCAACAGAGAAGGCCTTCTCCTATGTCACCACTAAACACACTTGTGAAGGTGGTTAGGCCGAGAGAAAGGCCTCTCCTGATGATCTTAACACCTGAGCAGGCTCATAAAGGGAGACATGGCCCTTGAGATAGCTTGAACACAAGCTGTTCAGGGCTTTATAGAATAGAACCTTTGAATTATGCCCAGAAACGGATCAGCAGCCAGTGGAGCTGCTGTAATGGGGGGATATGTGATCCCTGTAAACCAGGTCCAATTAGCAATCTGGTTGCCATATTTTGGACCCACTGAAGATTCCTGACACTTTCCAGAGGCAGCCCCATGTAGAATGCATTACAGTATCCCAGCTGGTATGTAACTAAGGCATGTGTCACTGTGGCCAGATCAGATCTCTCCAGGAATGAATGCAGCTTGTGCACTAATTTTAACTGTGCAAAGGTACTCCTGGCCACCGCTGAAATCCTGGCATTCAGGCTCAGAGACAAATCCAGGAATTCCCCTAAGCTGTCCACCTGTGTTTTCAGAGGGAGTGTAACCCCATCCTGCACAGGCTACATCCCTATTCCTTGATCTGCATTTCAACTGACATCTGTCTTGTCTAGATTTAGTTTTAGTTTATTTGCCCTCATACAGTCCATGGGATATGGGAAATCATTTTGATCTCCGCAGATTCTTTTATGACTTTGCCAATAAAGTGACTTAATCCTAAACTCTCATTTTCCATACTAGGACAAATGAGGCATTGTGAGCCAATTTTGCTATAATGGCATCCAAGTTAAAGAACTCCCTAGGGAATTTCTGCTTGCTGGTATTACCAGAACCCCACAGTGGTCTCTTAACAAATGCCATGGTTATTTTTCTTCAGTTTTAGCTGCTTTTTTACTCTTGTCTTCAGCAGCAGTTTTTTTTTTGTCTTCTGTTGTAAGCCATCTTGAGAGCTTTAATAAAAATAGCTGGGGTATGAATTGCACAAATAGATGCCATTTTAAAATACCTAATCAGATTATAAATAATCTGTATATGTCTTCCCTCATAGCCTCTGGTGTTTTGCACTATGGCTCCTGTGACACACTGAGGTGTATTCTGTCAACAGGAGAGTCAGTTATAGTGGAGAGTGTGGGAATCTTTTTGAAAAAGATAATGAGGAACTGCAGACTGAGAAAACGAATTTGTAGACCCAGTAAATTAATAGTTTATCTTGTATATGTGATTTTTTTTTCGTGTGCCAATAAAGGCTCTGACTGACTGACTACGGCTCCTAACATTCCTGCTGTTCTGCCTGTAGCTGAGTCCAAAACAGAGATAGGGTATGATGGGGAAGGCTGCTCTGTTGTTTCAGCAGCATCCTGTAATTGTTTATGCCACAGTTTGACTAGAATATATGACTTCTGAGAACTTTTGTTACCATTCTGAATTATCTTTTGAAGGTTCAAGACTGTCATGTGCTAAAGTATGTACCAAAGGAACAAAATGATGGACAATCTGCTCTGGTTGTTGGAGGCAGAAATGTGTCTGCGTTCCGGGTAAGTTGATTGTGTATATTTTTATGGTGGTATACAGTTTTGCATTAAGTGCTTCTCTGCAGTACATTCATAAGTGTCCTTAATATACCAGCTTGTCCATTAAGAGGCCTGTCTTTTAAAATAATTGCCCTGTTTATGCTACTGTATGTCATAACTTTTTTAACTCACTGCTTCATAGAATCACAGAATTGCATTGGAAGGCAGCTATATAGCCATCAAGGCCACCCCCCTGCTCAAGGCAGGAATCCAAATCAAAGCAGATATGATAGATGGCTGTCCAATTTTTTCTTGAATGCCTATAGCATTGGAGTGTTCCCTCCGACCATTGTCTTTAACAGTATTTAATAAAGAGAATTTATGAAGTGAAGGAAGGGGAGTTTATGCCTAGTATTCCTGTTTTAACTTCTAAAGTGTTTATTTTATTAGTCCTTTAGTATTCTTCATATTAGCTGATCTTCCATCTAGCCAGATGTTTCACTGCATTATGTTGCATAAGAAGCTTTTGTAACGTTATAAAAAGAACAGGGCTTATTATTCAGACAAAGATATGTATGCACATCATTCTGCTCTTTCCCTCATAGAGTCGCTGCATATGTGATTTCTCCCTACCAGTTCATTTTCATGACATAATAAAACTCAACAAAAGTAACTACAGTGAAACCTCTCCTTACGAACTTAATCTGTTCCAGAAAATGTTCGTTTGTTCAAACATTCGTAAGTAGAAGCAAAATTTCCCATTGAAAACCATTTAATCCGTTCCGGCTGTTTTTCGTTCTTATCTAGAGGTGCCGTTCTTAAGTCGAAGCATTAGTTCCCATAGGAACTAGTGCAAAGCTGGTTAATCCATCCTCTACCACTAGGGGGAGAATTTTTCTTCTTTTGACCTAAGACGAACTTAGGTCAAAAAAAGAGTGGGGGGGAGGGAACACCTTCTAAACAGAACACCTTTAAAAACTAGCAGCTTTTAAACAAAACCAAGCCAAGGCAAGCACCTTTTAGGTAAAAAAGGACAGAAAAGGAGGGAGGGGGAAGGGAACACCTTCTAAACAGAACACCTTTAAAAATAATCAGCTTTTAAAGAAAACCAAGAACTTTTTAGGTTAAAAAAAGGCAGGAGAACACCTTTTAAACACAACATCTTTAAAAAAGCCACAGAATCCGCAAACATTATTCCAGCACAGGAACTCCTCATCA